AGAAGGTGCATTTCAAATGTAACCGAACAAAAAAATCTTGGGATCAACATTTTTTCGACCCTTAAGTCTTTCCCTCAGTGCGTTAGGGCGGCCAAAAGGGCAGTCAGTGTTCTCTTTGCCATTAAATGAACTTTCGTAAACATTCACAAAGAGTTATATGGAAAAGTATACGGAGCGCTCACTCGTTCGCATCTGCAATATGGAATCCACGCGTGATGCCCGTGGCTTAAAAAGACTATAAGTTGCTAGAAAGAGTTCAGAGGAGAGCGACAAAAATTGTGAAAGGCCTCAGGACTTTACCTTACAACTACCGAATTAATGAACGTAAACTCTTTCCTCTTGAGTATAGACAAATTCGAGGGGATCTCATACAGACGTATCGGATACTGAGGAACCGAGACTGTGCCGTAAACCTCAATGATTTCTTCACCCTGGCCACAACAACAAACCTGCGTGGGAACTCTCTAGAACTTAGAGGATCCCGATGCCGCCTGGACGTTCGCAGATACCGTTTTTCACAGCGAGTCGTCGGTGTCTGGAACGGGCTTTCCGAGGACGTAATAATGGCGAATACCAAGGAGACGTTCAAGCAAAGACTAGATGCATATTTGCTTGGACAATCAGTCAGTATCAGTCAGTATATTTGGAGTAAACGACAGAAGCGCTGAAAATTCCATTTAGAGGGTACAGATATAAGGGAAAATAGTTAAATTGCAAAGCTTTTGCTTGTAGTTTTAGTAAGGAAAATTCATAAATCTAATAATGTAACATAAAGGCGAAAGGGGTATTATATTCGCGAAATAATTGGGAAAAACTTTGTTCACCGCATTCGGACTGTAAAAATTTCAATATGGGCTAAGTTTAGCGCACAAAATAGGATCTGTTGAAATCTTGATAGTAGCATATTTATAGTCATTTCAGTAATCCGTTAGATCAGGCTTCGGTAGCTCGGGTTGCCTTTCAGCAGGTAAGCATCCAGTTGTCTCTTGAACACGTTCACGGTAGGGGAATTAACAACAAACTCCGGCGAAGACTTCCATTGCCGAATGACCCTCTGTGAGAAAAAGGAGGAGCGTTGATTTGTGTGGCACAGTTCCCTTTTAAGCTGGTAATCATGTCGTCTGAGATTGGACTTGGGTGCCATTTCAAAAAGCGTTTCCCAGTCGACATCCATATTAAATCCTTTTACCAACTGGAACTTTGCTATGAGGTCACCTCTGTCCTGCCTGTAGTGGAGGGGATAGAGGTTTAAGGCCGTCAGGCGCTGCTCGTACGTGAGGTTTTTGAGGCCCTGAACAGCCTTTGTAGCACACCGTTGTACACCTTCAAGGATATCTATATCCTTCCGAAGCCACGGCCGCCAAGCCTGTACCGCATATTCCAGGTGCGGCCGCACGAATGTCCCGTATACTTTGCCAAAAACGTTCTGCGTATCGCGCTCATAACGGACATTGCCCGCGCATCGACTTTAGAACACTGCGTGGTGACGCTTAGATCGTCTTTAATGAACACACCGAGATCTTTTTGCACATCTACGGTTTTAAGTGATTGATTGTCCAGGAGATACTGTCGTGGGGGTGCAGTTGTTCTACGCCTCGCTGATACTACGTGCATTACTGCACATTTTTTGACGTTGAATTTCATGCACCATTTCTCGCTCCATGCGTGCAAATTCTCTACGTCCTCTTGTAGTACCTTGACGTCATCTTCATTTTTTATCGCTCTCCAAAGTTTAAGATCGTCTGCAAAGAGCGCTATTTCCGATTTCACTTCCCCTACTAGGTCATTTACGTAGATAATGAATACCGCTTGTCCTTACAGAACAGCTCTGTGGTGCTGAACCAACGCCTTGCATACAACTACCGCCAATGCGGATGACTGTCATTTAATTTTACCGATATCGTCTACAACTGAATGTTCTTGATTTTCGATCCTGAATGATCAACGGAAAATGTTATGTTAAGTATATATAGTACTGACAACATTTTAGTGGTATGTTTATCTAAAGATTGATATTTCGTGTAGCGTTTACAATAGGGTTTTCAAAGGCATTGCCTATTACCCTTAAAATATACTGACCTATAAGCCACCCGGTTTCTGAACAGCCCTTTGGTTTCGGCGTGTTCTCCGGCTCGAGCAAGCCATACCCTCTGGACGACTTCCTGATCGACTGTTTGTCAGAACTGAGGAAGCTTCTAGCTAATGGCTTTCGCAATCCACTGACAGACGAGGTATTGATGGTATTCTTAGATAATATCATCTGCGACATGTCTTCGCGGTCGTACGTGAGGCGAGTGGAAGCCCACAATAGGCATTATTAAGAGTAATAATAATTTTTATTCAAGATCCGTGGGGGTCCATCCATAGCAAGTAAGAATAACTTTTACACAAATTTTAGAAAATTGTTACAGAATCTGTGCAATACTTAAATCACAGTTATTGAATAAGTAGTATGTTACGAGGAATGATGAGCGTGCAGTGAGAAAGCTCCCAACATATAAACAAAATGAGTACGACTGGATTAACACTATATGAGAAAAAAACTCTCGCTCCTGAGCGTATAAAAAGCGGGCAGGACCGGCCTGTATGTGGCAGTGCATAACGGATTTCGTGAAGGGGTAAGTAGGCGGGTCAGGCACGACTGGCCTGTATGTAGCATTGAGTAAAAAGGATCGAGTCAGGAATCATCATGTGAGAATTCATATGCCCGATGAAGTCATTCATGTGAAAGTGGCGAATAAAAAACCAACCTCGAGGCGATAGGAACGCAGATGTGATCGGTTACAGTCAGTCGAGTCCAGCCTAGCATATGGCGAACACAGAGGGTTCCGTCAGGAATGTCGATAGAGCACATTCTGTGAGAGGTGGGATACATGAACTGAAAAATCGAAAAGATTAACAGTTCTGATGAGGGATCCTAGGAAGCTATACTACAACCGAAAGAAAGAAATGTAAGCGGATACGGAGATTAAATGGCGGCGTCCTAAATTCGCTGTGGCCTTTTCTCAGTGTCATAGGGAAAGTTGACCGCGAAGGATGAGGAAGATAAAAGTTTAATGGAGTCAGTATTCAGATAAATGCGCAGCCTTGTTTTAAAATTGTGTAGATTATCTGGTGATCTTATATTTATTGGAAGGTTATTCCAGAGGAAAGTATGCCTGGAAGCGAAAAAAGAGGGCACTTAGAGATGGAGAAAGCGGGAGGAGGTATAATCAAGGAAGAGTTACGAAGATTGTATGGGCAACTGCTAAGGGTAAATGCTGAAGTCCGAGGAAGATTCGAGCCATTATTTTATGGATGTGACAGGTATGTTTTTACGTACACATAACAGCAATAATTGCAGGCGTTTTCACATGGGGTGCCCCGCTGCTAACTACATAAAGTTCTGTACATTCAGTGGTCAGTTGCGGGACGACAGCATTTTCGATTGCCAACCCAGGCACTGCACCACAAAAGTAGATCGCCTTTTGAGGATTTACCCATCGACATAGTAACCTCATTTCGTATCGATTACATGCACCCTGCTTGTCTCGGCGTCATGCGGAAGCCGCTACATTTGTGGTGACTGTCGCTCAGGTTGTTCGCTAGACTTAACATCGACATAGAGAAGAACAGCCTCTGGTTGCCGGCTGAATTCGTACGCAATTGCAGGACATTGGACTGCCTTGAGTTGTGAGAGGCCGACGAAATCCGGCAATTTCTACTATACATGGTTCCCGTCGTTTTAGTCCCCTTTCTTGATAATACCTGCTACGACCACTTTTTGTTACTCTCTGTTGCTATTTACTTGTTTTGTCACCCCAAATTGCTCGTATCCCGTGCAGACTTTGCCTATCTTTCATTGAATTAGTTAGTTTCAGATTTTCCCACTTGGCATAGTCCTGCCGATGTTGTTTGTAATGTTCATTGCCTCCTTCACCTTTATGAAGACGTAAGTCGGCTTGGGGTGTTGAACAAGTTTTCCTCATTTCTGTTCGAGTTTTTTTGCAAACTGTTTGGAACAGCATCAACGGACAGAAAAATTAGCAGTGCAGGCTTTTAGGCGCTTCTATGAAGGGCGCTTGCCTGAGACGCCAACAAGCTCCATGCTGTTGGACGACGATGAGCGACTTGCACGGTCGCTTCAGTTACCCCGGGGACCAACCGCCATCTTCCATAATGGGTACGCCTTGTCCACTGAATCGCCCGACACTATCGTGCGAATTGGCGATCAGCCGTGTATACTGACATTTGTTTACGCTAACGAAGTACGGAACCGTTCTTTGGCTGATTGCCCTAACCTGTTTACTGCGTCTTTTCCTTTTTCTTCTTCGTTGTTTATCTACAACATCACATCCACCCACGACGTAACAGTCATCGTGAGGTCTTCTTATTTCTGACTCTGGCACGTGTTGTTAAATATCGTCCGTTCTATTCTGTAAATGCAATTGCTATTTTGAATAAACTACCCATGAGTGTGAAATATCTGCAAAATTGTCCTTTATTTAAGATAACTATTACTCGATTTTTGCATTCAGAGAATCTCCCACAAATTTTGGGTGCTGAATCCACTGATCGACTCTGCCGTAGCGATGGCGTTTGTGGTCTCTGAACACTATGGCCGGTCTCACCAGCTGTTTCTCAACGCCTCTACTTTGACTATCCCCAACTTCATGAAAGGAATTGACGTCCGATAATCTCCGATACCGTGGAAACCCCTCCCTCCCTTCTTGACGGTCGAAAATCTACCGCCAGCAGTTTTTTTTCTCCTGAACCCTCCAAACCGTAAAAACCACCATCAACTCTATTTTTATTCTTCGGGAGTTTTTTTTCACTGCTGATCGGATTTGTCTTTAATCGCTTCCCTTGATAATGCCTGTAAACTGGCATTTAATAAATTAAATTAAATCTGTTCTACACGACGCTCCCTCTGTTGCTTCTCTATCAGAAATTACCTGTTAAGATGTTCCCCATAGAATATACGGGGATTTTTCCTCATCCCGCTTTTGCAAACATTTTCATTATAGTGATTCTTTTAATGTATCATCATCATCATCATCATCATCATCATCATCATCATCATCATCATCATCATCATCATCATCATCATCATCATCATCATCATCATCATCATCATCATCATCATCATCATCATCATCATCATCATCATCATCATCATCATCATCATCATCATCATCATCCAATGACTACATGCGTTGAATGCACGAGTAAGACTGCACATTTTCACACATTTGTATTCAGTATTTGACTTTTAAATGGAAAAACGGTTGTGGTTGTGACCGATGTGCGGTTCTACAGCGAGGACTGCGTAATGTGCTCGAAGGCGGACAAGCAGTGGTCCGCTCCGTTAGGGCGAAACGAACGCCTCCCACTCGCACTGCGGTTTGTCCAGTGAGAGTTTTAGAGGTAGACCTCATTCTGGAGAGGGCCGGCCGTGTGGCACGAAAGGTCGAACAGACGTCCAACCTCTCCAGTTCGGAGCTCGCGCAAATGGGCAGGGTCTTCAGGACTAGGTAGGCGTGCTATATTATCTTACCTGGCGTAAATTTGCCTGCCAACTTACGTCTGATTCGGAGGGGGTGACGACGATGATGTCGGTGACCAGTTTGCGCTATCTCGGCCGAGACGAACTCAAAGACCGCTAGGCACTTGGTCAGCACCGCCGCCGATACTACAGTATGCATACTAACATTTAACCATCTGCAGGCCACGGAAAGATTAAAGCGCTTCCGGTTCCACCGGGCGCCTGGAGTAAATTTCGCGGCCTAAACCGAGGCCAGTTAAGGAGCAACTGACAGCAATGCAGGAGAAATTAAAACAGCTGTCTGTATTTGCTCAAAACGAAATCACATACATGTGGTAATCATGTTTTCCATTTGATTTAAGTGAAATCAATTAGTTAAAGAATGGATCGTATTGTAAAAGACCAGGCCACGGTTCTATACGAGCTTAATCAAAAAAGAACGGCAATGACCGAAAAATGCCCACAACTATGCGCTCCAAGTCTTGCTGACAGTCAAAGTCCATGTGGGCTGCGTTGGCCTATCTGGACCTCCGATGCATACGAGGATTTCAGTTGACTGCTAAATACCGACTCGAGCTGTCAGCAAGAGACGGCATGAAAATTTGGAACTTAACTTACACTTTACGACCTGTAGATAAAAAAGCTCAGCGTGGTCGAAAGACGGAACGAGGAGTTTATTCGTGACCTCCTATCTGTCATGCTCGGGCCGCCTCTGTGCCACAGCTCCTGCTGCGGTGGGTCCATGGGCAGACAGTCCTTTGTAGGAAGCCTACTGTAAACTATTTTTAAATGATGAGCACAATTCATTTGTAGCATTACAGAGGCTTCTCGTTACAACGTTGCTTTCAGTCGCTGCACCAGTGACTTCCTGCGAAAAACGGTCATTGACTAATTCCATGGTTCGAGGAACCAATATGGCGACCGCGTTAAACGCAGGGAAAGAGCCCAGAAGGTAAATCACTGTGTTTTCCATTATTGGAAAACACGTGTTTAACTTCCCAGTGGAATCACTAACATCGCTGACTGCCTGATGCTGACTGCGTCGGAGGACACGGTGAGCACCATTGCTAAACCTTATACGAAATTTTACGCATGCACTGTCGTTCATTTCTTAATTAGACACGAAATTACTGGACGATATCACTGCTTGATAAGTTTGTCCTTTAAAATAAATAAAGATAATAAATATAGTTATTAATCCGTAACGTTAGCTTTTAAAGTGCAGCAATAGTATGCAGGATATAAACTTCAAATTTACATTCGGCACAAACGTAACGAGTGTATTTTTCATAATTACAGGAATCAGCCATGGAAGATGAATCCATTTTCAAAGTTAACGCTTTGCACAATGATTCCATGGAGCTGTAACCATTGGAAACATTCGTTCTCATCGTACATATTCATCGACCGGTTTTTCATTATTTGTATTTAATAAAATAATCTTACCCTGAATATGTACTCGTGTCTGTTACACCGTGCGAAATAGTGGGGGACGCGCATGACGCCATTAACCTATTATAGTTAGAAATCTGAGGTCCTCTGGAGCACAACGTTCCGGGCTCTCGATGTGCCATATTTAAGGGCGACACAGTAAAGTGTCCCGGGGATACGTTGCACACGACAAAATCGACATCGTTAAGGGGTGTCAAAACTGACGATAAGAAGGCGTCCCATGCGCTGATTTTTCGCGGTAGCGAGGCAAGAGTGGGCTGCCGGTTGTACGCCACACCACAGCCCCGCCCACAGGTCGGATGGCCACCTCATAGCCCCGACAGACCAGAGTGGGCTTGGCGAGCTTGTGCCAGAAAGAAAGTCTCTGAACTTCGTCCATAGTCCTGATCCATCATTGTCCCAGTGCAAATCCGCCTACGTTAGGTGACCTGACCCTCGAAATATGCGTAAATTAGTTAATGATTATTAACCTTCCGCAAGCCAGACAAATGATAGTGATGATAATGATAATTTTATTTAATACCAGTTTACAGGCATTGTCAAGGGAAGCGTTAACACACAACCGACCAGCAGTGAAGAAAACTCCTGTGGAAAAGAATATAAAAGTATAGTTGATGGTGGTTTTTATGGTTTGGAGGGTTCAGGAGAAAAAATTGCTGGCGGCAGATATTCGACCATCAAAAAAGGGGGGGAGGGTTGAACCATATCGGAGATTATCGGACGTCAATTCCTTTCATGAAATTGGGAGTAGTCAAGGTAGAGGAGTTGAGGAACAGGAGTCAATGATGGCCAACGAAATTGTCCCTGGCGAGACCGGCCATAGTGTTCAGAGACCACAAACGCCATCGCTACGGTAGAGTCGATCAGTGGATTCAGCACCCAAAATTTGTGAGGGATTCTCTGAATGCAAAAATCGAGTAATAGTTATCTTAAATAAAGGATAATTTTGCAGATATTTCACACTCATGGGTAGTTTATTCCAAATAGCATTTGCATTTACAGAAAAGGACCGACGATATTAAACAGTACGTGCCAGAGGAAGAAATAAAAAGACCTCCCGGTGACTGTTACGTTGTGGGTGGACATGGTGTCTTAATGAGGTGAGTGGGTTGAATGTGTGATTATATAAGAGTTTACATAGCAAGAATAGTCCCCTTTGGCAATCTACGGAACCATAAAGGATCAAGGCCCGTAAGCCGGCAACGTTCTTGGTAAGACTGCGGAAATTATCGTCCTGTCAGTCTTACTTGCATCGCGTGTAAAATAATGGAACGTATTATCAAAAGACACTTGATGAAATACCTGGAACAGAACA